GGAGGAGGAGGAAGAGGAGGAGGAGGAAAGGGCGGAAGAGGGAGGGAGGAGAAAGAGGAGGGAGGAGGAGAGTATGATGAGGAGGGAGGAAGAGGAGGAACGGGAGGAGAAGAGGAGGAGTAGGAAGGGGATGAAGAGGGAGGAGGAGGAGGAGGAGGAGGAGGAGGGGTGGAGGAAAGGGAGGAGGGGAGGAGGAGGAGGGGGCGGAGGGAGGAGGAGGAAAGGGGAGAGGGGGGAGGAAAGGGAGGAGGAGTAGGAAGGGAGGCTAAGGAGGAGGGAGGGGAGGAAGGAGGAAGAGTGAGGAGGAGTGCGGGGGAGCAGGAGGAGGATGAGGAGGAGGAGGAGGAGGAGAGGAGAGGAGGAGGAGGAGGAGGCGTGAGGGGGAGCAAGACGGAGGCGGAGGAGGAGGAGGAGTAGGAGGAGGAGGAGGACGAGCAGGGAGGATATGAGGGAGGAGGAGGAGGAGAGGACGAGGAGGAGGAGGAAGGGAGGAGAGGAGGGAAAGGGGAATGACAGGGAGCAGGCCTTGGGAGGCAGGAGGAGGAGGGGGGAGGAGGAGGGGAGGAGGAGGAGGAGGAGGAGGATGCGAAGGAGGCGGAGGCGGCGGTGCGGAGTAGAGGAGGGAGGAGGAGGGCGGAGGAGGAAGGAGGAGGAGGAGGAGGAAGTGAGTATGAGTGAGGGGGAGCAGAGGAAAAAGGAGGAGGAAGAGGAATGAGGAGGAAGGGGAGGAACGGGGAAGTAAGGAGGAGGAGGAAAAGGGAGGAGGCGGAGGAGGAGGAGGGAGAGGAGGAGGAGGAGGAGGAGGATGGGAGGAGGAGGAGGAGAGGAGGAGATGTGAGGAGGAGTGAGGGGTAGCAGGAGAGGGCGGAAGAGAGGAGGAAGGAGGAGGAGGGATGAGGATTGAGGAGGAGGGAGAGGAGAGGAAGGAGGAGGCAGGAGAGGGGGAGGAGGAGGAGGAGAGGAGGAGGAGGAGGAGATGAGGAGGAGGAGGAGGAGGAGGAGGAGGAGGAGGAGGAGGAGGAGGAGGAGGAGGAGGAGGAGGAGGAGTGAGGGGAAAGAGGAGGACGGGACAGGAGCACTGTTGCCTGCCCCGCGTGTGCCCCATCGTGCGCAGCTGGCGGCCAGCGCGTGCGCCGCAGCAGCGGGGGCCCCCTGTGCGGCGTGGCGGCGCCCCGTCGCTGGGGGGCAGGGGCGGGCCCCGGGAGTGGGGCGGCGCAGCGCGCCGACTGCGGCAGCGTGGGCGCGAAGCGAGCGCTGGCGGGCCAGGTGCGGAGCCGCACGGGTCACTCGCGGCTCCTGTGGCTGGATCGGGTCCAGACCTCCTCGGCGGCTCGAGCAGGAGTTGCGCTGGCACTGCAGCGGTGCCGTTCCTGCAGCGGTGCCCGCCGCCGGCTCGCTGCTCAGTGCTCATCCCGAGTCGGCACGTACCTGACCAGTGTGGCCCCTGGTCAGCCGAAACACGGAGGCTCAGCGGAGGCGCGCCGTGACTAGGGCTGAGATTGTCCGCGTGCTGTCGTCGGCTCTCAACCAATTCCGTGTCCACGTAATGCGACATGTCCGCGTCGTCCAATTGTATTGGGTGGTCATTCGTTCACTTGCTCTGAAGGCCGTCGAGCAGCGGCCCTGAGATGAGGAGCCGGCTGCGAGGAAGGATCGAGAGTTCCAGGGGTGCACCGCGTTGGCGGGGGCGTCTGGGAGCGGGGCGGGGGGTCATCACCAGTCCGACGCATACCCCCCTGACCATTTCAGGAGGGAACAAAAATAGCCACAGGCACAAATAACCGCCGATGCCCCAGAACATAGGGTAAATGCAGGACGGGGACGAACCTCCAGAACACATCTAGAGAAGATGGGGACTCCTGGGATATGTGTGTCTATTTTTTGTGTCCCTGGGCCCCTTCGAAGTCGAGTCTGCCCAGCCGCTTGTGCCTGCCCGCTCAATTGCGCGCGCTCGCCCGGCTGCAGGCTGGCCCACCGGCGGCAAGGGCAGGCCGTTGCGGTTCCCGATCGGGACGCAGGCGCCCTCCGGGGCTGCCCGGCTCGTGCTCTGCTTCTCCTGCTGCCCTCCTCCTCGTCGTCGTCGTCCTCCTCCTCCTCCATTATCCTCCTCCTCCTCCTCCTCCTCCTTCTCCATTCTCCTCCTCCGTCCTCCTCTTCCTCCTCCTCCTCCTCCATCATCCTCCTCTTCCTCCTCCTCCGTTCTCCTCCTCCCTCCTCCTCCTCCGTCCTCCTCCTCCTCCTCCTCTCCCTCCTCCTCCTCCTCCTCCTCCTCATCCTCCTCCCTCCTACTCGCCCTCCCCTCCTCTTCCTCCTCTCCTCCTCCTTTTTCCTCCTCCTCCTCCTCCTCCGTTCTCCTCCTCCATCCTCCTCCTCTTCCATCCTCCTCCTTCTCCTCCTCCTCCTCCTCCTCCTCCTCCTTCTCCTATTCCTCTTCCTCCAACTCCTCCTCTTCCTCCTGCGGCCCAGGCGGTCGAGGCGGTGTGCCCAAATGCTCTAAGCTTCGTCTCTTGGCACGCTGAGTGCAGTGTGGCGCGCCTTCGTGCTACCGCGGGCTCTTCAGGTGCCCTGTGGAGCATGGAGTCCCGCAAGCTTGCCCGAGATGCGCATTGACGCCACCAGCAGCGCTTTTGCCGTGGCGTTGGCACTCACCCAGCAGGGGTGGGCCATCGAGTGGAGGGCATCGGCTGCCCAGGTCTTGTTTTCTTGGTTCCCTCTCCTTCCTTCCGGCCCTCATCTCCCCTTTCTAATCATCCTCCTCCCTGCTCGTCGCTCCTCCTCCTCCTCCTCCTCCTCCTCCTCCTCCTCCTCATCATTTCCTTCTTCACCCTGTCGTACTCTGTCAGAGGAGTCTGTCCTGATGACAACCTTGATTTCTGTGGATAAGCACGTGGTGCCCATCGGGTATACCTTCTCCTCACCCTCCACCTCCCTCCCCCCTCCTCCTCCTCCTCCTCCTCCTCCTTCTCCTCCTCCTCCTCCTCCTCCTCCTCCTCTTCCTCCTCCTCCTCCTCGTCCTCCTCTCCTCGTCACTTCCCTTATCCTTGCCCTGCTTATGCTCAGTTTTCGCGCACCTCTTTTCTTCCTCTATGTCGCCTTCATCATCCTGTCTCTCCTCCGCCCCCCCTCGGCCGCCGTATCTTTTTTCCTTTTTAATTCAACTGTGCCGCTCTTTTCCTACACGCTCCTGCTTCTGCTGCCCCCCTCTTTTTTTCGTCAGCGTCGTCGTCGCCTTCCCCCTTTCCATCCTGCTTCCCCTACTCCCCCTCCTCATTAGTTTCTGTTTCTCCCCTGATCTTCTGAACCATCATGTCCACCTTATGTGTCTTCCTCCTGTTCCTAAATCCTCCCCGCCCCTCTCGTTCGTCGTCGTTCCCCTCCCTTTTCTTTTTGTCCTGCGCATCCTTCTCTGCTGCCCTGCTGCTGCCGCACCGGTTCCTCTTTCGCATGCTCCTCGTTCTTCTCCTCTTTCAGCTTTCGTTACCGTCTTCTCCTCCGCTAACCTTTCTCTGCCGTTCCGCGTCTGCTGTCCTGAAACTCGCCTTTCGCCTCCCTCTCCTCAATCTCATTCTCCCCCTCTCCCCTCCCACAGTGGCCCCCTCATCCGCCCCTCCTGCTGGAGGTCTCTGGATGTCTCTGGAGACCCGTCGCGTCTTCCAGAAACTCGAGCCGCAAACATGATATTTGCCAGAGTCGGGACCAAGCAGGGGAATGATTGCATTATGTACCGATGTCCCAACTACAATATACGTGGTGCAATCGAGGGCGTGAAATCAACGTGGTGCAATACATGTGGTTCAATCTGAGCGGTGCAAGTTGTCTGGTCTGAGCCATGTGTTGCGTGTCTTTATGTGCAATACAGTGCGCAAGCTGAATGCGTGGTGCAACATAGCCCATCTGCTGGAATATGTGTGGTTTTACATATAGGTGCCAGCCGTGTGGTCTAATATTATTATTTGCATCGCTTTGTTTTGCCTTGACTTGCCTTGTTGTGCCTTGCTTTGAATTGCGTTGCATTGCATTGCTTTGCGATACTATACACTCGCATTGTTTTGCTTGCATTGCTCTGCATTGCTTTTCATTGCTGTGCGCTGTGTTGCTATACTTTGTATTGCTTTGCACCAAACATATTGCATCACGATGATTGCGCCAGCTAGATTGCACCACATTGATTGCACCACCTGGATGGAACATCATAGAGTGTAGGTCCACCTGGATGGCACCAGCTTGATTGCACCTGGACTCTATCGTCTGGGGTCCACGCTGGCTAACACACCTCACACATGTAGTGCAGGGATCGGGCGCCCACGCCTGGGCGCTGTGCGGCACACTCTGAGAACCCCGCCCGCGCGCAGTTCGCTCACCAGGCGAAGCACCCCGAACTTCAAGAGAGGGAAAAAACACACAGACACAATTAATCGTCGATCCCCCGGAAAATGTGGGAAACTATGGGAAGTGGGGGGGAAGTCGAAAACCAAGAAAAATTTCAAAATATGGGGAATCCTGTAATTTGTGCTGATTTATTTGTGTGTCCCTGGGCCCCTTCAGAACGTCGGCCCAGCCCGCGGGCCGCCCGCGAGACGTGCCGTTTGGGGGGCCCGCCGGGCGAAGGCCTGCAGAGCCAGGCCGGCGCGCGTGGCGCCCACGAGGCGCCCAGAGGGCGGAGACCTGTCAAGCAGTGGCGAAGCGTCCTGGCTCGCCTATAGCCCTATCAAACAATGTTCTAAGAACCTCGTGTGGTTCCAACGAAATGTTCTTCGAACATTTCTGGCGGAGGCTGTCTTGGTTTAACACATCGGGTCAACGTTTCAAGAACGTTGTTTCTGTTCTTAGAACATTTTTGGGATCTAAGAACATTTCGTGGTAGGACTATAGGAATGCCGGGACGGTCGGTCCCTGCTCAAACCTGGGGAGCCCAGCCAAGTTCTGCAAGCCAGAGAGGAGCGCCTGGGTGCAAGCACGGCTCGGGAACAAAAACAAAGCTCGATGACCGTCCTTCGATGCGTCCCCCCCTCGTTCGCCGCCGCAGCGAAAGTATGAGAGACGTCCGACGTGCTAGGTCCTGTCGCTCCCTTTCCCCCTCGCCCGCAGCCGCACAAAGTACAGAGAACGCTCCAAAGCCTCGGCCCGCGATTCTTCCCTGTTTGCTTCCTCCCCCCTCCCCTCCTGCCCGAGGTGCTGTGCCAGACCGGGGAAGGCTGGCAGCTGGGGACCATCGTGGACCACTGGTACACCCAGAAAGGCTTCCCGGCCGGCTTCTTCGCCCCCTACCAGGCGCGCAAGCCGTGGACGATTGCCCCTTTGCGTCGGCGCGCTCCCTCCCTCCCTCCCTCCCTCCCTCCCGCTCCGCCTTCCTTGGCCGCCAACGTGTTCCTGAATCCAATGTCCTCGTCCTCCCTCCCTCCCTCCAGTCCGCCTTCCTGAGCTGCAGAGGAGGAGGAGAAGGAGGCGGAGGAGAAGGAGGCGGAGCAGGAGGAGAAGGAGGCGGAGGAGGATGGATGTATGGAAGGATGTATGGATGGATGGATGGACAGATGAGGAGGACGAGGAGGAGGAGGAGGAGGAGGAGGAGGAGGAGGAGGAGGAGAAGGAGGAGGCGGGGGAGACGGAGGAGAACCGCTTCACTGCTTATCTGGTTGCGCCTCTGGGCCTATGCGTGCTGCGGCTGCGGGTGTGGGGGTGGTCGGAAGGGCAGGGAGTTTTGTTGGGGAGGCCCCCCCTCCCCCGTCACAATAACTCAATCTGAATACTACTCTCCTCTCTCCCCTGAGTCTCTGGCGGAATCTGTCTCGGAGTGTTCGGCCCCCCGTCGCGTATGGTTTTTTCCACACAGGATGTCGGCGAGTTGGGGTTTCGCTTGTGTTGTTTTGGCTGTTTGTCAAAATGCTGCTCTCGCTGAGGCGCTGGCCTCATTTTCGGGCTTCCGCCCGTTCCGAATTGTGCTCCCGCTGCAGCGCTGGCTTCATTTCCGCGCGTCCGCTTGTTCCGAATCGTGCTCCCGCTGCAGCGCTGGTTTCATGTCCGCGCTTCCGCTCATTCCGAATGGTGTTCCCATTGCAGCGCTGGCTTCATTTCCGCACTTCCGCTCGTTCCGAATCGTGCTCACGCTGCAGCGTTGGCGTCATTATTTCCAGTGCCATGCTACGGCATGGTTTTCGGTCCTTCCAAAATGGCCCCAAATGGCCTCCCGAAGAATCCATCGGAAGTGATTCCACAGTCGGTGTCGATTCGTTGACTTTCGGGGCCGCAGAAGCCCCCCCTCACTTTGGGGCATCTCCACGCCATGCTATGCCATGCTACGCGTTAATCTTCACCGCCATGCCATGCCATGTTATGCTATGCCATGCTACGACATGTGCGAATGGAGAGGAGATCTACGCCACGGTGAGGGATGGGAGGGAGGGCTAGGACGTCAGATATGACGCGAGCGCACCTAGCTTGCCTTGCCCCCCCTCCCCCCGCCCCCCTCCCCCATCCTGCCTCTGGGGTTGGTGCTGCCTGGGCTTGCGCCCCGCAGCGCGCCTCGTGCTCGGCAGGCCCTCCCGCGCCCCGCAGGCCGCAGGCCGCAGGCCGTCCTCCTCCCCCTCCACCCCTTCTCGCTCGTCCTCCTCGCCCCCCCCTCCCGTCTCCTCCCTGCTCCTCGCCCTCTTCCTCTCCCTTCCTTGCTCTCCTCCTCGACCCTCCCCTCGTCCTCCCCTCCTTCTTCCAGGCCCCCCTACCCCCCTCCTAACCTTCTTCCTCCACCACGATCCCCCCTTCATCATCTTTTCCCTCCTCCCTCTCCTCCCCATGCTTCTACCCCCCCCCTCACCCTCCAGCCAGAGGGCAGCCGAAGCCGCGACCCCCCCGGGGGCGCGCGGGGTGGTGCTCGGCTTTCCGGGCAGCGTGTGGCCGTGGTGGTAAGAAGCGGTGCCAGCCGGGGGCGACGGACCGGACCCCCTCGAGTCATGAAACAATGGCTCCTCCCCCATCCTCCTCCTCCTCCACCGCCTCCTCCTCGTCCTCCTCCTCTTCCTCCTCTTCCTCCTCCTGTTCCTCCTCCTCCCCCTCCTCCTTCTCAGTCCTCCTCCTCCTCCTCCTCCTCCTCCTCCTCAGTCCTCCCCCTCCTCAGTCCTCCCCCTCCTCCTTCTCAGTCCTCCTCCTCCTCCTCCTCCTCCTCCTCCTCCTCCTCCTCCTCCTCCTCTTCCTCCTCCTCAAAGGAGGCCGTGAGCGCAGCGGGCTGAAGGGCGCGCGGCTACCCGGCTCCTCCTCCCCTGGGGCGAATCTGGCCGAGGGCGGCGAGGGACGGGCAGTGGCGCCGGCATGTGCCCTCCGCCTCCGCGGGCCGGCCCGAGGGAAGGGCGGAGAGGAAGCTGCGCGGCGCCGCGCGGTCGTCAGGGGAGCCAGTTGATGGGCCTGTCTTCCACCACCACCACCATAAGCAGGAGGGGTATGGGGGTCCTCCTGCTCCTCCTCCTCCTCCTCCTCCTCCTCCTCTCCTCCTCCACTTCCTCCTCCTCCTCCTCCTCTTCTCCTCATCCTCCTCCTCCTCCTCCTCCTCCTCCTCCTCCTCCTCCATCCCCTCCTCCCTCCTCCTCCTCCTCCTCCTCCTCCTCCTCCTCCTTCTCCTCCTCCTCCTCTTCCTCCTCCTCCTCATCCTCCACCTCCTTCCCCACCTCCAACTCATGGTGGTGGTGCTGGAAGACAGGCCCATCACCAGTGCTTGCCCAGATCCCTTCTGAAATGAACAGCTCGCGACGAGCAGCCAGGGCAAGCTCAAAGCCAGCTCGCGGGCGTCGTGCCGCACAACGCTCGGCTTTCGCACGCGCGGCGACATCCGCACTGCAGGTTTTTGTTGCTAGTCTTGCCCTCCAGGGAAGGGGTCGAGACCTCTGGTGGTCGACGCCATGGCGAAAATCACGGCGCCGGGGGGCCTGAAAGGGGAGGAGGACTGGCCCAGGGGAGGGGGCGCACGGGCTTGCAATTTTGCCCGATCATCGCCAACCGGGGCTTCTGGACCCCCTTTTGCCGCCCATGTGCGCGTCCCGTTTCGCGATCGAGGGCCCATCGCTGAGCCGTCGGGGACCCATCGCCGATACCACGTCAGGGTGCCTCACACGAGCCAGTTTCCCTCCATCGTGGCCCCCCCTCAACTACGCCTCGGTTTCGCCCATATCCACTGGCCTGGACAATTAAGCCTCCGAAGTTATGAAACACTCGGGCAAGGCATAGCTTGTTCAATGCTTTCGGCGTCCACGGACCGTTGCAAGGCTCCAGGACCTGGGCAAAACCCGAGAAAGGTGTCGGGATCTCAAAGGGCACCGCAGCGACCAAAAAAACACGTCGTATGCGCGGGTATTGCTCATCTGCCATTTTGCCCTCGCAGCTTCTCTGGGGCCTCCGGCGGGCCTCTCGGGAGCCTTTGAAGACCGCTTGGGAGGCCGTTGGTGGTCTGCAAGGGACGTCTGTGAGGCATTTCAGGGGGTATCCTGAGCCTGTCAGGGGGCGTCTGGAGGACCTCTGGGAGTTGTTTACGAGACTCTTTGAGGCATGCTGGGTGTCTTGGATGCAATATTTGGTGCATTTTTGTGGCATTTGGGGGTCTTGAGACCCACGTGGGACTCTGTCGGGCTGTCTTGGAGCCCTTGTGGGGTCATTCTGGGCCGCCTTGAGCCTTCGGAAGCCAAAGAGGGCCACGACTTTTGAATTCATGAATGCTTTCGCTCTCGAGGGCCTCTTGGGCTTTCTCTTCGAGCCCTCTTGGGCCGTCTTGAGGGCCTCTTGTGCCATCTTGGGGCCTCTTGGGCCATCTTGGGCCATCTTGGGGCCGTTTTGGAGCGTCTGGAGGCCTTGGACAGTCTTGGGACCGCCTTGGAGGTCTGTTGGTCCTCTTGGAGCGAGCTTGGCAGTCTTGGGGTGGCTTTGGATTGTTTTGGATGTAACGGAAAGTGCTTTGAACTGTTTGGAATGTGTTTTTGTTGATGTGTTGTTGGTCGTTTGTTTTTTGTATGTTGTTGCTAGTTTTCGGCCTCTTTTGACTCCCCTCGGGGGGGCTCGTTTCGGCCGTTGTCATGTTCTCTTCAGTTTGATTGGTGAATGATGCTCTCTTCAGTTTGAGTGGTGGAAAGCTCAAGGTCTGCCCTGGAGCGGGAAGGCGACGCACGCGACCCCGGCCGGCATGGGGGTCGGCCCGAAAGTGCAGAAGGAACCTTACCAGACAGCAGAGGAGCAGTCAAACACACGCCCCAGCGAGCACAAAAGGCACTGTGGCGGCCCACCCGCTGTGGTGACGTCACTCGTCTGACAGAAACAGCAGTGCGGGGAAGTGCTCCTCCGTGGATCTCGCAGAGCGCCGGTTGTGCAGACGAGTGTCCCGCCGCCCAGGCATCTGGCGTCTTAGAAGAATATCGAGGCGGCGGTTTCGCATAGTCCTCGGCCTCTCGGGCCCTTCCTGGGCCCGCTGGTGCCGTGAATACACAAACGACTCGTGGTGAGAAAAGCCGGTCCCGGGGAAGCGGTCGTGAGGTCGGGGGCCCATGCCCGGCAAAAGTCGAGACGCCGGAGGTCTGGGCCACGGGTCGTCGGCGAACGAGGCCCGCACCCGGCGCTTCCGCGAGAGCCTCCGCAGGGCTGCGCCTCCGAGCTCGGCAGGCGAGGGCCGCACCCCGCGGCGAGCACGCGCGGCGGTGCCCGCGGCGCGTCGGCGCGGTGGCGGCCCCAGCGCGGGCTCGTCCGGGCGGAAGGCTTGGCGGCGGCCGGGGCGGGGCCGCTGCGAGCGCCCCCGGAGGCGGAGCGATCGCCGCGCAGCGTCGGAGGCCACCTCACCGGCCCCGAACTGATCCCTATCCCTAAGATTGACACGCCTTAAGGAGAATTAAAACAATCTTAGGGATGCACCCTCATAAACGGAGGAACTCCCTGAGATCGCCATCGTGACGAGGCGATGCCCATCCTAGGGATAGGGATATGTTCCAGGCTGGTGGCCACCGCCGAGAGACGTCCTCGGGCCCGGCCGCGCGCCCGC